AGGGCTTGAGAACCTGAGGGGCTGCTGGTGAAAGTACTAAATTCCAAAGGCTAGAGAACCTGGAGTTCTGATGTCTAAGGGCTGGAGAAGAAGGGTGTCCCAGCTCCAGAAGAGAGAGTGAGAATTTGCCTTTCCTCTGCCTTTTTGTTTTGTCTGGGCCCTCAGCTGATTGGCTGGTTCCCGCCCACATTAGGTGAGGGCAGATCTTCCTTACTCAGTCCACTGATTTAAATGCCAATCTGTTCTGGAAATATCCTCACAGACATACCCAGGTATAATGCCTTATCAACTATTTGGGTTTTCCTTAATCCAGTCAAGCTGACCTCTGAAATTTAACAATCATAACTACTTTTGTCTATGAGATGTTGTCATCTTAAAGATGTCTTTCCAAAATGAAGACAGTGTTTTTTTTTTGTTTTTTTTTTTTTTTCTTTCAACTACCCCCTTGAAATTTTATAATGGGTTTGAAGGGTCTGAGCCCTAGCTCTGACAGTGTAAATGGAAACTTAGTATAACTAAAATAATAACTAAATAATGAAACATTTTAACTTTAGATATGATTTAGATTTTAACTTTAGATATACTTCCCCATTTAATTTAGTTGTTAATGAGCCTGGATTATTTTTGGTCATCAGACAGAAAAAAAAATAAAAATATAGTAAGTAATTTAAAACAGAGGTTCTCAATGCTCTCAGGTTCCTACAACTTTTATAACAATTATCTTCTTTTTTTTTTTTTCCTTTTTGTCTTTTTTTCGTGTCCGGCAACGGATCGCAACCCTCAGTGTCGCGCCCGTACCGGACCAGGACCGGCAACGGGATCGCAAACCTCGGTGCTGTGCCCGCACCTCGCTCAGCCAGTGAGCAGGAACCGGTCTGTATGTGGGATCCGAACCCTCAGCGGGAGTGCCGCCGCGCTTCCTAAGCGGCGCACTGTAGCAGTGCGCCACCGGGCCAGCCCTATAACAATTATCTTCTAACTTCCCCATTACTTTCTTCCAGTGAAATTCTTTGTAGATAATATAAGCTACCTACATTCATAATTTAAAAAAAATCAGTATAAGCCCTTACTGTATTCTATATTGAAATACAAATTATTTCATTCTAAATAATTGCTCTATGACTACTCAAGAAGGTACAAGGAAGTCACATTCTTGGATCTGTGCTTCATACCACTGTGAGTACAATGGCTGCAGGGTGGATTGATTAAGGTGTGCTGTTTTGGGGACTCAAGTACCACAAACAACGTTGCCCCAGGATACCTTAATTTTAGAAGTGGAACACAACTGTTGTAAAGCTTTAAAAAAAAAAACCAGTGTAAATATAATTTACAGAACAGTTGGATTCTTAGAAAATTCAATGTATGTTAAAACCATGCCATGCAAAGTACTTAATATGTAACAATTTACATATTAATTCCATTTTACATTTAATTCCATTGAATTAGAGTGTAGGCTTAGACAATTATGATTCATTTCTTTCTTTTAAGTCATGTGAATTTCTCTGTGGGGCACAGGGCAGTCTTGTGTTGTGCAGGACTATCTGCAGAATGTCTAGCATACCTTGTACCTACCTGTAGCTGGTAGCATTACCTCTATCACTGTTGAAAGGGCGGAGGACCCGAGCTGATAAGGCGACAGGACCCGAGCTGACAGTTCGCCAGAGAAGTTCCGCTTTATTCAAGGACTGTGTGTACATTTATAGGGAGCTGCGTTCCTGGGTTGGATAGGGGGTGGACGGGGCGGTAGCTGATTGGACAGGGCTGGGTAGGAGGTGAGCCTTGACCTGTGACTGGCTGAGGTTTGGCGTGGGTGGGCTTGGGTTTTGGCACCGACGGGCTTGTTTACTGTGGAGAAGAACCCGGAAGGGCACCATATTGCTAGGGTATGTCCCTGTTCAGGTGCCCATGGGGTCCCTACAACTGTGACAACCAAAATGCCCCCAGAAATTTTTGAAATGTTTTCTTGGCTGTGTTAAGGTCTATTGAAATCACTAGCTTAGAGGAAAAAAATGAAACAAAACAAACCATTATTCACCTAATAGGATATTTCTAACTAGAACAGCAATAGTGACATTGCTAATTGTTACCTTTTATTGGAGTGTCAAATGGAACAACTTCTCAGATCTTAAATATTTTTATCAATGTGAAATGAAGAAAATTGTGAGTTTTAAGTCCTTGAAGGGTTTGGTAGCCAATATCTAAGTCAGCTAAACGCATAAATTACAATGTCTGATGCATGAAGCATCCTTACAGAACTTGGAAGAAGTTTAGCTTGCTGGGCTCCATAGGTAATCCAGAGTCCTGATTTTTGTGGACCTATTCTGAGTGGATATGGAATTTATATACATTCAGATGTTCTACATTGCATATCAAAAATGACCTAGAGCTAAGATCAGGAGGGAATTCATTTGAACTGCCCTCCTTCAGTCATTTGTCTTTACCTCAGTCTCCCTTTTCTTTGCCAGAGCATCCTCTTGTTTAAGCAACTTAATTGATAGCAATTTATGTATTTATATGGATATACTTGTATTTGTAGTCAAAATTAGGCCTGTAGCAAGATCTACAATACTTAAACCCTTATATTGGGTGGTGCTGTTGAGAAATGTTAGATTTTTAGATGTTTTTGTGAGTATAATTTTTATGATTTAGAACAGTCAATAAATTAACTATTTGTTTATTTATTTATTTTTCCTTTTTGTCTTTTTTTACTGACCGGTAACGGGATCGCAACCCTCGGTGTCGCGCCCGTACCGGGGACCGGCAACGGGATCCGGCAACGGGATTGCAACCCTCGGTGTTGCGCCCGCACCGCGCTCAGCCAGTGAGCAGGAACCGGTCTCCACATGGGATCCGAACCCTCC